AATCTGATATTGCTAATGGTAATTTCAGAAATGTGTTTGGGCAAGGGAAATGAAAAAATAAATGAGACTATATCAAACTAAAAATTTGTTGTGGAACAAAGGAAATCGTCAACAAAATGAAAAGAAAACCGACTGAATGGGAGAAGATATTCAGTTACAATACATCTGATAAGAGATTAATATCCAAAACATATAAAGAACTCATACAACCCAACAACAAAAAAACAATCCAATTAAAAAATGGGCAGAGGACCCGAACAGATATTTCTCCAAGAAGGAAATACAGATGGCCAATAGACATATGGAAAGATGTTCAAGGTCACTAACCATCAGAGAAATGCAAATTCGAACCACCTCACACCTGTCAGAATGGCTATCATCAATAAATCAAAGAACAAGAAGTGGTGAGGATGTGGAGAAAAGGGAACTCCGATACACACTTGATGGGATTGCAAATTGGTACAGCCACTATGGAAAACAATCTGGAAGTTCCTCAAAAAATTAAAAATGGATATACCTTTTGATCCAGCAATTTCACTTCTGAGTATTTATCCAAAGAAAACCAAAACAATAATTCGTAAAGACCTATGCACCCTATGTTCATGGCAGCACAATTTACAATAGCCAAGATATGGAAGCAACCTAAATGCCAATCAACAGATGATTGGATAAAAAAGTTATGGTTCATACATTCAATGGAATGTTACTTAGCTATTAAAAAAAATGAAATCCTACCATTTGCAATGACATTGATGGACCTAGAGGTTATTATGCTGAGTGAAGTAAGACAGGGAAAGATAAATACCATATGATTTCACTTATATATGGAATCTCAGGACCAAAAAGAACAAACTAATCAAAACAGACTCACAGCTATAGAGGACAGTCTGGTAATGGCCAGAGGGGAGGGGGATTGAGGGGCTGGGAGAAAGGGGTGAAGGCTCAAAGAGTACAAATTAGTAGTTGATAGATGATCACACAGATGGGGAGCATGGCATAGGGAATGCAGTTAGCCTTAATGTAATGGCTAGGTGGAGAGCCAGAGGAGAGAGAGAGCAATTAGGGGGATCGTTTTATAAAACTATATAAATATCTAACAAATGTACTGTATACTTGAAACTAATAGTAAAATTAAAAGATCGAATTTGCAAATATATGGTGATGGAGATTTGACTTTGGGCTGTGAACACACAATGCAATATACAGATGATGTACTTTTCAAATTGTACATTTGAAACCTATATAATTTTGTTAACTAATGTCACTGTGATAAATTTAATTAAAAATATAATTTAAAAATTCCTAAGAAAAGAACTCTCCAGGCCCAAATAGCTTCACTGGAAAATTCACTAAACATCTAGAATAGAATTAACATCATTTCTGCCCAATAAAATATATAGAGGAGGAAGGAGCACTTCCAAATTCATTTTATGAAGCCAGTATTATCTTAATAATAATCAGAAGAAGATTGCACATAGAAAGTAAACTACAAACCAATATCCCTCTTGAATTTAGATGTAAAAAATCTTGACAAAGTATTAGAAAACAGAATTTATGAAAAGAATTATTCAACATGACCAAAGTGGTGTTTATTTTAGGAATGCAAGATTGGTTCAATATCTGAAAATAAATCAATGTATTGATTTTTGAACTAAGAAAATATTTATGAACTAAGAAAAACCGCATGATCATATGAACTGATGCAGAAAAAGCATTTGATGAAAGTCAACACATATTTGTGACACACATCATCAGAAAAATAGGAATAGAGAGAAATTTCCTCAACTTGACAAACAGCATTTACAAAAAATCTACAGCTAACACTATACTAAAAGGTAAACAAATCTTTCCCCTTAAGATCAGGAACAACATGGTATATCTGCTCTCAGCATTTTCATTCAACATGGTGCTAGACATTCTAGCCATGCAATAAGTTAAGAAAGAAAATGAAGGCATATAGATTTGAAAAGATAAAACTCCTGGTTTGTAAATAACATGATTGTATAGAAAACGCCAAGAAATCAATAAAAAAATCTAGAACTAATAAGTGAATTCAGCAAGGTTACAGGATATAAAATAAACATAAAGAAATCTGTTGTATATACCAGCAATAGTCATCGCTGGTATGTATATATTTCAGAGGACACTGAAATAAAACATGTAGTACCAATTATAGGAGCTCAAAAATGAAATAATTAGGTGTAATTAAGTACAATCAAACTGTATGCCACTGATGAATGAAATAAAGATTTAAATAAATTGAGAGATATATGATGTTTACAGATTAGACTCAATATGGTAAAGATTTCAGTTTTCCCCAAGTTTTATACATAATTCCTATCAAAATCCCAGAAAGATTTTTTTGTACATACAGACAAGGTTATTTAAAAATTTATATGGAAGTACAAAGGAAGTAGAATAGCTAAGACAATTTTGAAAAAAATGTAAATCAGCTCAATTTTAAGGTTTATTTTATATCTATAGTAATTAAGACTGGTAATAACAAAGGGATAGATACATAGGTTAATGAAGCACAATGGAGAACATACAGAACAGAAATAAACATACAAATATACTCTACTAATTTTTGACAAAGGTGCAAAATCAATTCAATGTAGGAAAGAGACTTTTTAACAAATGATGCTGGAGCAATTGACCATCCATAGGCAAAAAACAAACACACGAGAAAACTTCATTAGTCTTACAAGTTTATAAAAAGAGAAATAATCCAAAGTGGATCATGGACTCGAATGTAACGTGCAAAACTATAAAAATCTTAGAAAAAAACATAGGAAATAAACATTGAGATCTAGAGTAGGTTGAGAGTTCTTATACTTGATATTAAGTATGCTCCTTAAAATGAAAATTAATAAATAGAACATCGATATTAAAAAATTATGCTCTGAGAGAGACTCTGTTAAGAAAATGAAAAGCTACAGGCTGGGAGAAAATGTTTGCAAACCACAAATTTAAAAGGTAACTAGTATCTAGCATACATAAAGAAAACTCAAAGTTCAACAATTAAAAAGCACCTAGTCCAATTAGAATGTGAGCAAGAGACATTTTACTGAAGAAGGTAGATGCCAAATTAGCATATGGAGAGATTTAACCTCATTAACATTTAGGAAAATGCAAATAACTGTCAGAATGGCTAAAATAAAAATAGTGATAATACCAAGTGCTGCTGAGCGTAAGGAGAAATGACCATCCATATGTTGCTGATCAGAATATATAATGATGCAGCCATTTTGGAAAATGGCTTGGCAATTTTTTAAAAACAAAACCAAAACCATAATCGTGCACTGCCAAATAGCCCAGACATTGCATTGTTGGGTGTTTATCTTAATGAAAAGAATATATATACTCACACAAAAATCTGTACATGAATGTTTATAGCAGCTTTATTTTTTAAAAAATTATTTTTAAACTATAGTTGGCATAGGATATATTAACTTCAGGTGTACAACATAGTGATTAGACATTATATACCTTACAAAGTGGTCACCACAAAATGCCTAGTAATCATCTGTCATATATAGTTATTACAGTATTATTATATTCTCTATGCTGTACATTATACCCCTCTGACTTATCCTATAACTGATGGTTTGTACTTCTTAGTCCTCTTCACCTTTTTTACCTTTCCCCACCACTCTCCCCTCTGGCAACCATCAATTTGTTTTCTGTATTTATGAGTTTATTTCTGTTTGTCCGTTTTTTAGTTTCCACATGTAAATGTAATATAGTATTTGTCTTTGAGTTATTTCACTTAGCATAATACCTGCTACGTCTGTTCATGTCACAATTCCATGAACAGACGTAGCAGGTAAAATAACTCAAAGATTTCATTCTTTTTTATGGCCAAGTAATATTTTATCATATACAGCAGCTTTATTTATAATAGCCCCAAACTGGAAACTACCAGATATCTTTCAACATTTTAATGATTAAACAAAGGTGGTACAAACACACCTTAGAGTACTCATCGACAATAAAAAGGTATGAACTTTTGATATACACAACAATCTGGATGAATCACCATAGAATTATGTTGAGTGACAAAAGCCAACTCTAAAAGGGATACACTATATGATTTTACTTATATATTATTCTTAAAATGCCAAAATTATAGATATGGAGAACAGATAGTGATTTTCAGAGGTTAACTGGAAAGTAGGGGCAGAACAAAGTGGGTGTAGCTATAAAATGGCAACACGAGGTGATGGAAATATTCTGTATCTTGACTGTATCAATGCCAATATCTTGGTTATGATATTGTACAATAGCTTTGCAACATGCGAGCATTGAGTAAAATTGGATAAAGGGTAGAAGGGATACTTCTATATTATTTAATATAGCGACATGTAAATCCTCAATGATCAAAATACCAAGTTTTATTAAAAATAAAGTTTGAATCCTTTCATAATGCATCCATGTATCAAATCATCACATTGTACACTTTAAATATACTATAATTTTACTTGTCAATTATACATGGGAAAATCTTAAAAATAAAGTTCGAAGAGGTGTAGAAAATTTTCACCTTTCTGTGCTAAGGATTTTAGATGACCTTATATTTTTTTCCATTTTTTTTAGTAGCTGCGAATATTCCTTTGAAACTTTTTGTAGATTTGAATTTAAAAATCGGTCTATGTGACGTTATTTCTAGAGCTTAGCTAGTACCATGAGAAATATACTAGGATGTCCATCATACTTGCAGTTTGCATAGAAGCCTGTTAGCATCTTTATACATATGTCTGGAAAGTGAATGTGCATGCTTTAAATGTGTCTCTAGAAAAAGTAAGGGTATCTGGAGCCAAAAGGGGAGAATTGGTATTTTCACCAGATTCAGATGCAGCGGGAATCACTGCTCCTTAGATTGGATGATTGAAGACTAAAGTTTGGTTTTGGCTATAGATCATCCTAAAACTTTAAAAAGCTGGTTTCTCTGACTTTTTAGAATGACTTAAGGCTTTAATGAAGGTGTTAGAGGTGGAGGGATGGAGGAGAACAGCCTTCTACCAGAAAGGCAGCATGAAGGCTCTGCCATTGTGAATTGGATGCTGGTAGCAGCAATTAGCATCCTAATGCTTGAGGCTCCTAGTGGGAAATGTCAGGCCTACATTGCCAGTAGAGTTGCTGCCAGAGTTTATTAGGTTTGTGTGGGAGCTGTTTCAGAGCTCCTCCCAGCAGTATCCCTCACAGTTACAATTAGTCCCAGGCACTTTATGAGCCCTGGAGCCCAAGGAATTTGGCATAAGTATTATATATGTTCCATCACTTTGTCGGAAGCAAGCACTCTCTAGGCTAACTTGAACCTAGACTAAAGTAGACATATCTGTCAGGCACTGATAAGCATTTGAGAGGCATAAATATCCTGTGAGAGTGTGAGTTAGAAGGGACAGAAATATAAATGATTTGACTTGTTAGGGACTTTGGATCAGAGATATGAAACATGACTGGTGAAATCTTCTCTTCCTAAGTATTGTAGCAAATGTAATGAAACAATTCTGCATTGCAGAAGCTTTAGGCTTGGGTACTGTTTTTTAAAACAGGCTTCTCCAGGGTTTAGTGCTGACACACAGAAAGACACTTAGGGAAGAAGCCCAGCAGTATAAAATCTTTAGTTAGGTAGTGTCTTGTCTGGCAGGTGTTGGGAATATTCGTATTTTACATTTCCAGACAAGAAAAGATAAATTAGCAATTGCTTTAAAGCCTCCTATCTCAATTTTTTTTGACACAGTGTTTTGATTTCCCTTTTAATAACATAAATTAAGATGTAAGGCAATTGATGTATTATTCAAAGGCCTTCGACACTCAAAGTGAACTGGAGCTAGGATTTAGGTCTCCTGACTCTCATCCCAGGGTTGGTCCCTTTAAAAGTGGCTATAAGAATTGCACTGTGGAGACTTTCCAGACTGAGGTAATTTTACTGCAATAGAATATTCTAGTCTTAGCTTATAAGGAACAAGAAATATAAAGGTGAGAACTGAAGCGAGACCATTAAAAATATCACCAAAAGTAAGTGTCAGGTTGCACATCTTTGAGAAACTGAGCGTAAAAAGTTGGACACAATTAAGTGAAGATTCAGGTAACCAAATCAGACTAAAAGTTAACATGACCAGAAAGAGAAATAATCAATCGTTCTTTTAGGATCTCAAACTTGTCTAGAGATATTACTCAAAGGGCCCTGGGTTCTCTGTTTTCATACATTAGGATGATCCAAATATTTCTGCTCAGGATGGGCACACTCAGTGTCTACATCAATCAACTCTTCAGTCACGAGTCAGAGAAATTGTTCTCTATGAAATTGCCATTTCCATGGACAGTTCAACTTTATAAAGGTATGGCTCTGAGTTATTTTGACCAGCAAGAAATAAACATCTGCAGGTCGTGAGACCTACCTTCATGTGTTCTGCTTCTGTATTCAGAACTTTTACTTGTCCCAGCCAAAATTGTTAAGACCCCAGTACAGAAGGTGAAATAAATTTTAGGCTAAATGGAAAGATTTTATTTAAACAAAAATCATAACTTACCAAAGTTTAACTATTTAATTAGTTGTATTAACTTATATAAAATGTGTTGTAAGGAATGTGAAAACATTTTTTTGTTTCCATTTCTCTGTTATAGAAGTCATTTTGTTTCTATTTGCTATAACTGGATAATGGGAGAAGGCACTTGGAGATACTTTTAACTAGAGTCACCAAAGGTTATGTTTTAACAACGGGCAATTGGTCTTTGCTGTTCATGCCTCATACTTCATTTTGCCTATAATTTCAATATCATTCTCTATCCCTCCCCCATTTGTAAGGGTCTCAGCTTTCTACTCTTACATGATCTATTTACAAAGTCATAGTAAGGTCAGGTATTTCATATTTTAAAAATCTCACTTAGAGTAATTACTCTAAAAATTTCACAAAGGGGATGACCTCAACATAAAGGAATAAATGTAGATACTATTATTGTTTTCTTAATCTACCAGGTGTCCAAAAAGGGACTCTGTGACTGTAGAAAACATGAATATTTAAATGTCAATTAAAATTTAAAATATTATGCAATTAAGACAGTGGACTTTAGAAACAAATACGCTCTTTGATGGATTAAAAGTAATTAGCTGACATATCTTTGAAAGGTATTTAAGTATTAGCATGACATTAGAATGCTTTGCTTTAACGCATGCACATGATAATAAATGCTAAAATTAATATAATAAGAGATAGGGCAGGATTTTATTAATAAGTATTTGGACACTCTCCTGCCCAGTATGTACTTAATTCTGTAACCAATTAGATATCACAAGATATATTTTTGTATTTAAGGGGTATGATTAATTTTTTATTTTAGAGTGGTCATTCTGGTAGAAGAGTATCGGCTGGTTTGGAGTGAGCATAGGCCGAATCAGTCATATTCAAAAGGAAGTTTTTGCACATTTTCAGTTGGGAGGTGATGAGGCATGTGTTAGTACATTAGCACTGTGAATGAAGACAAAAGGAGAGGTGGGAGATATGTAACACAATGAAAGAAAATGATTTATTCTATGGAATGTTGATGCAGAGGGAAAAATTAAACATGATGCCTTGGGAGAGTAGCAGAATTTTAGTCTCTTGCTAGAAATAAAGGAGTCAGGAGAGAATACAGTTTGTAGAGAAATAAGTTGATAATGAAATATTTGGGAAACATTCATTAAACTGTTGAAGAAAGCATCTGGACTTTTGGAGAGAAGTCTAGGAGGAAAGTGTAGAATGGAGAGTGAACCATATAGAGTTGATAATTATTATTATAATTACAGGTAAGTCCTGCAAGGAAGAGCTGTAAAAATAAAAGTACAAATTCTGAGAGCATGTCCTTAGAAAATGCTCACAGTAATGGAGCAGGAGAATTTAAAATAATTATCTAAGAATACAAACAAAATCAGGACAAAAGAGCATCATAGAATTGAGAATTTGAAGGAACAAATAGTTGATTAAACAATAAGTAAAAAACTAAAGTAGAATAAAAGTCTTTGGATTTGATGATTAGAAAACCATGGGTGACCTTCAAGAGTGCAATTTTTATAGGTTAGTGAAAGTGGAAACCAGATTTCCATAGCTGAAAGGATGTATGTTATAAAGAAATCCAGCAAAGGGACACTAATCATTTGAGAATTCTGTACATAAAAGGAAGAATTAGAATGGTAATTAATATAACAAAGACTTTTCCCTTCAGGTTGGGCCTGAATAATTTTTACAGTAAGAGAAAAGGAATCAATCAGGGTCAGGAGTGTCCCAGAGTGGTAGAAAGAGGGAGAGTAAATGAAGGAATAAGATCCTGAATGTGATCAAGACCTTGAAAGGAAAGATCACCCAGTTATCACTAAATGGTGGACATCTGCCCTAATTCAGTCACTAGGAATTGTATATCTTCAACACATCAATTTCTTCAGTGACTCTTTCAGTTGGCCAATATATCCACATTTTACAGATTAAAAAATACGAAGCTCAGAGAGGCTAAATAGCTTGCTCTAGATCTTGGTAAGCAGAAAAGAATAGATTGAAAGCAGGAAATGTTAGGTCTGGAAGCTCACACTTTCTCTGGGATGTGACACTGTCACTCGTTTGTAGTGAGACAAGCTCTGTAGTAGAGAAATGTGCCAGCGGGTGGGAGGAGCACAGTGAGTTCTCCAGGCATTTTGCATGTGTAACAGAAGAGCAAATGATGTGATGATATTCTGTTCTGTTCTACTTGAGCATGACTAACATAGGGAAGTGTAATATTCACTCTTGAGATCACAGCATCTAACAGAGATGACACTTTAAAGATATTAGCCAAATTAACAAAATGAAATGTCTACTTCTGATGCACATGGGCTAGTCGACAAAAGTGAACAGATTTGTTTTCCTCTTTCTATGTTAGAAAGCCTGTGCAGCCATTTTCATACTTTATTTTTTACTGAGACAAGAGCTAGAGTCGTAGAAAATTAATAAGAGCAACTCAGAATTAGTAAAGCATGGTAGAAAAAGAAAAAAAACAAGATGAAATTATCACTTCTTTCTCTCCTTCCTAAGATGGAGATACCAAATTCTCATAAAGACCCTGGAATTTCAAAGCATCCAAGCTACCTTTTAGACTTCAAATTTATCAAAGGTTTTGCTTTCTTTCTTTCTTTTTTTTTTTTTAATGTCTGAAATTGTGGCGGGGACGTGAGAAGAAAGCACAACATTTGTTAGTTACTCTATTTTTCCTAAGGCAGAGTTCATGCTACAATTGATATCCATACTACTGAAGTACTACTAGCAGTAACAGTTAATAAAGTACTTTCTCCATAAGTTGTTTACATTTGCATTTATATACTTGTAAGTTATATAACATTATTCCATTTTGTATGTAAAAGTTTAAACCTTTAATCCAGTAATACACCTAGTAAGTCATAAAAACAGGTTTCATATTTAGGTTTTCTAATTCTAGAACTCTCTATGAGACACCAGTCTTATTTGCAGTAACAGTTAATAAAGTACTTTCTCCATAAGTTGTTTACATTTGCATTTATATACTTGTAAGTTATATAACATTATTCCATTTTGTATGTAAAAGTTTAAACCTTTAATCCAGTAATACACCTAGTAAGTCATAAAAACAGGTTTCATATTTAGGTTTTCTAATTCTAGAACTCTCTATGAGACACCAGTCTTATTTTCAGTATACAGCTATATCTTCCTTTTTTTTTTTTTTTTTTTAAATCTCATTAGCTCAATAACTGATATTGAATGGCAACTGGTAAATTTATTTTCAGGAAAGTTTAAAAGAAATCA